GTTATATAAAGTTTTACAAGACAATTGTAGTGTGAATAGATTGCACGTGTACGTGTGTATAATGCTGTCATTTGCTAAGGAACATAACTAAGTACTATTATATGCGATTTATCTTATTTTATTCGACATGGATTTGAGTAGTTTTCTTACAATAATTCTTGTTCAAATGAAATTTTTTAAGTAAAATTTATTTAAGTTTATATTTTAGAACGTAATTTTATTATTTACATTTATATTTTTAAAGATAATTTATTTGAGCTTATACTTTAAAAATAATTTCATATAATTTTATTTATTAAAAAATAATATTCTCAAAAAAAATATCCTTCACGCACACGCTATAAAAATATAAACAGATATTTTATTAGGATACAGACAAAAATTTCACTTCGGATAAAATAATATATCAACATGAATTTATATATATTCATAAAATATCTTCATTAATAAAAACAAAATTTATAAGGACATAATAAATAATTACTAGTTATCTCTGTTCTAATCTATTGTTTTTTCTAATTTATTCAATAATTTCATGAGATTCTGCAAATATTTTGGACGAAAAGGATCTATTATTGAGAGAATATGTTGTTTCACGGGGCTTCTATTCCTTGGAGTCTGAAATTCAACTTTTGAAGTGGGTATTGGATTCAAGATTCTTGGTAGAATGCCAATGAAAATTAAGATATATTCTGTTAACAATGGCTACCGTAACTCATAAATTTGCACCATTTATACATATAGTATGTTATTTTCTTTGCATTTCTAACTCAATAGTTCTTTACATTATCTATTTGGTCGATAAAAAGAGAATATAAGATAAAGTTATCTTCATTAAGAGGAAGGGAGAGGTGAAGAAGTCAATACCATAAAAGGAAGGTTCATTTAGCTTAAAAGAGGAAAACATAAATATAGGATAATGTTTTCTGTTTTTGGTGAAATTTGTAAGGATAGAATAATTTAGTTTAAGTGTTATAAACAGTTCAAACGAAACGACATATAGTATAAGAGTATAATTTTTTTATATTTTGTGAACCTATTATATTTAAATATTGTTATAATGTGATAAATAGGAAAATAGAATTTTTTAGTATTTATTTTTATGTTAGAATATTGATTTTTGAATGATAAACTTGATATGTGAGGGATTCATTATGTGATTGATTGTGTACAGATGAGATTTCGAATTTGAAACGCATGATGCAAACATTGTATGATAAGGGATGCAATCTGATTTGAGTTTGAATATATATGAATAACAATATATGTTTATATATATATATATATATATATATATATATATATATATATTATGTTTTAATTTAAATGTAAATATTTGAGAGGAGATAATTAATTAAATATTGATCCTTCTTATACAATAATTTTCTTATTAATTTACATTAAAACCAACCCTTTTCTAATCATTTTGAAGAGAGCAGTAGTATTTGAGAAGAAAAAATATTCACTTCAACACTATGAGTGGCACAGCTTCCTTGGTATTTCTAAAATAATTTTTTGAGATCCGTTCCGTTAATCATCAATATATATTTTTATTAATATATTAGTATATTATTAAAGTGAGTAGTTATATATATAATTTTTGTTTTGAAAATCTTAAGCAAAAGTTTATACGTGGAAAAAAAGTACGAGATTCTAATTTTTTTGAAATTACTTCGATTAATGAAGCAAATCTGATAAATGGGAAATTATGTTGTAAAAACATTTCTGGCATAATATATAGTACGTAAATACCAAATTTCTTTGCTGTTTTCCATCAATAAATAGCTTTGGTGCTCCATTATTTAACTTTATATTTGTTGGTAGAAAACATGATAGAGACGGTATTTGAAATGTGCATCAATAGAGTGAATACTATTTAACTTTATTTCTTCTGCTTATAACACGAACATGATAGAGACCACATTGGAATTTGGATTACAATATACATCAGAAATGTGTTTAAATTTTGTATTATAATATCACACAATTGTAACTTAAAAATTTATTTTACAAAATACGCTAAATATGTGAAATCTTCTACTAATTAATAAGTTTACGTTTAACTTTTTTATTCCTAATTTATTATTACTTAAAAATTCAAATATACCCTATATCCCTGGCATAAACTACTCATAAAGGATAAGTTCGAAATATTCATACTTGTGTAAGATCGCATAATTAATTTAAATTGGGTATCGTTGTCAGATTTATAGTACTAGTCAATACCATGTTCATATAGCTGCAAATATTCAAAGATATGATGAATGCAAAAATAGTAAATATTATATTCATGAATACTGATACCAAATAATAACTTATCATGTAAATGATATCTTGAAAATTACATTGATAACATATAACTATTAAACCAATAATATAATATAATTATTTTGCAAAACATGCGCATCTCTTTATATCATAACCAACATTTTTTCTCAAAAGGCAAATAAATATGTTTATTGAATATGAATATAAATATGGGTAGTATTTGATTTTTTTAATTAATATTAAAATGAAATAGATATTTATATATATGTTTAATCTCTGTTTTTCTTTGGAATAAGTATAAGATAAAGAAACTTATTCCGACTCTAGTCAGATATTATGTTTATTGAAAACTATAAATTTATTATTTTAAAGTTTTGAAATAGAAATTATATTCAATTATCTTATATGGTGAATTTTTTGAGGTGGGGGAAAGGGTGGAATAATGAATAATATTGCTTTGAGCTTTGTGGGATGGGGGCCAAATTTGCTTCTCTTTTGTTTCACCACATCTTTATACACTCAACACTAGTTTTTGGTACCAACCCACCACCGCCATGATGTGATTGCAATTTGGTGGGAAAACACCAAATTAAAGAATAAAAAGTCTAACATGCTCCAAGAGAGTTAATAGATAAGTATTATTTTTAAAAAAATATATTATTGAAAGTGGGTTAAATCTAATTTATTATTACAAAATAATTTGTAAAGTAAGAAATATTGTTTCTTGTACATCCTAAATTGATATTATATTTAGTGTACAATATATCTCAGAGGTATAAAAACTAGTTAGTAAGATATAATTTACACCCATCTATATACTATAAATTAGTCTTATTTATAATTAATACTATAAATTAGTCTTATTTATAATTAATACTATAAATTAGTCTTATTTATAATTAATACTATAAATTAGTCTTATTTATAATTAATACTATAAATTAGTCTTATTTATAATTAATACTATAAATTAGTCTTATTTATAATTAATACTATAAATTAGTCTTATTTATAATTAATACTATAAATTAGTCTTATTTATAGTTAATAATGTAACACTTTGAATACATATTCTTTTGTTACATATGATGGTAACAAGTTAATAATTTTCATATTTCCTAATAGATATGAAGAAGAAATATATATATATAAAAGGTTTGATTTATTTTGATTGATTTATTTTGTTTCATTGTATACTGAAAAATTTATTCACACTCACTTTTGTTAACTAAGAAAGAAAAACTTCATATTTAATGTATTTCAGTGTTTAAAATTATTCACACACTTTCATTAGTTTTTTTCATAATTGATATATTATATGGCAGATGTTAAATAAAGGTTTGGCTTCAAATAAAAGAAATACCAGAAAAAGGAAAGTAGAAGAGGATGATGAGTTATGATATTATCACATTCTTAGTGTGATTTATAATTTACACTATTCTTTTATCACAATTATAATAATAACTACTAATAGATTACCAAATAAGCCTGAGAGTAAAATCCTAATAAATCCTGAAATTAAACCCAAGCATGTTTTTTTTTTCTTCTATATATCACTTTCAAGTCCATTCTTCCTCCACACTTGGGAGGAAGGTTTTCAATTTTTGAAGCTATATGTAATTAATTCAACTATCTTCTTAGTCATGTGGAATTAATACAAATTCTTTTTAAGTTTATAATTTAGTTGAGGAGAAGCCCACAAACTCGATTTGGACCTCCAAGTTATTTTTAAGTGATTCACCTTATCGAACAAATTTCATAGAATTGAATTATACTTAAATTTCATTTTTTTTTTCAAAATAATATTACAACTTATCGATTTCATTTTTTCAAAATAATATTACAACTTTTCAAGAATCTATCTTGGCTAAATCTATCTTTGCTAAATTTGTTAGATATATTATTAAATATCTCACATTATATACATATAACTAAATTATAACACAAATAAATATAAACCGTATCTAATTTTATGAAATTTATCCAGCCTTAAACCTCACTTTCTAACGCTGCTAGTTTACTTTGAATATGACTCTATAACCAATGCACATGGACTTCAGACCAAAGAGTTCCGAATTTCGCCTTACAAATAATCTCTTACAAAATATCAATATTGAGTTTGTGTACTGTTAGCACAAATTACAAAATCATTCAATAAGAAACCAACAATTTATTGCTTTAGTTTTAACGTCTATGTAGCCATTTGTGTACTACTGATTAACCATGTATGTCAAATAAATACTAAGAAATATCCAAACATAATGTCCCATAATTTTAATGTACCTAATATATATATATATATATATATATATATATATATATATATATATGTAATATATGCATGTATTTATAGTTTACATGAATATAAATAGTTAGCCTTAGCCAACTTTGCAAAAGTTGTACATTGTGAAACTATTACACTCAAAAGCTGATTTAATTTTTTTGTGTTATAATACTAAGAAGAATCATATAATAATATTATTGATATTATCTAATAACAGTCATTTTTAACATTAATAATGCATTATTCTTAATACAAAAAATATTGTTATAATCACGATTGTTTTAATTATAATTTCTATTATTATGAAATGAAAATAGTATTTTTTATATTAGTTGATAAAATCGAAGTCGAACTTCTTACTGTTTAATAAATCTAATAATAAAAAAACTAATATAATGTTTTAAATGAGCAAGGAACAATAATGATTTTATTTGCTATCCTGACTAAATGAGTGATCTAGTGTATTTGGTATGATTTGAAAAGCAACATAAAAATATAGAATAAAATAAAAGATGAAACAGGAAGAAAGCTTATTTCCTTTATTCAGCGTGTACTGATGGAGAAGGTGAGCTATAGCTGATGAGTAAAGGAATTGTTAATCATATTCTTCTTTGGAATCCGTCAATGATCTTACTTCACAGTCTCTCCACACTGAAAATTTGACAATTCAACAAATTACCGTTAGATTATGACTACATCTTTTCCCAATCAATAGGCCCCTTCGACATCTGTTTTAACCTACCCTGCAAAAGAAAACGTACAATGTAGTTATCCAAAGGGGGCACCAACATAGTAAAAACAGTATCATCATCACTGGTACAAGAAATACTCAGCTATTCACAAAACACATGTCTGTTTACAAAGGATACAGCAGACAAAGAGCAATATCTCAGGACCTCTTCAGCAGCAACCACCTTCCCTGCTGCAATCATTCGTATGCTACATCAATTACAATCACATAAATTATCAAGCCACAAATATTAACAAATCAATGAAGCCTCATGAAATTATACCACAATGGTTCTAGGGGGGATGGTTTATCTGAACTCCTAGATGATAAAAATTGTCATAGTCAACTAGGGTTTGGACGCAAGATAACCCATATGATCCACAAGGTTCTGCAAATCCTCACTCCACTCATCAGGATCAGCAACCAAATCCTCCACAGGAACATCAACTTGTGAAAAATCACCAATCACAACTTCCTCCTCATGGTTCGCAGCAACCAAGTCTTGGTTCAGTAAATCCTCCCAGATTGCATCACTTACCACCCCCAAATCACTACCACCACCAGTTGTAGGAACTGAACCTAAAATCGGGTCTTCTAATTCAGAGCTCGATTCTAATGGATCATCGTCACAAACAGCTGAGAGAAGAGACTCCATGTGCGACTCAATATTAGTGGATTCTTCTTCAACAGGCAATGCCGCATCAATCACAGGATCTTGCTGCAAATTCTCCACGCTTGGGGAAGCAGTTAATCTCCTCTTTCTTCTACCACCTTGCAACTCTATCTTCTGAGCGTTCCTGTGAAGGAACTGCTGAATAAAAGTCTGATTGTTGAGTGCCTTAGCTAGAAAAGTCATCATCTGCTGATGTTTCTTCTCGCTGACTTGCAATCTGCTCTCCATGGACAACAATTGCTCCCTTGAATTGTGCTGTTGTTGCCTCAACTTCACAATTTCAGCCATCAAAACTGTCCTGTCTCTCCTCAACCTCTCAATCTCACCTTCCAATCCAAACTCCCCCAATTCAACGCAAGCTCCACTTCCTCCCTCGTGTGACTGCATCTGTGTTACGTGCCTCCTTCTCTTGATCGTCTTCAACAAGTGCCTCTGTCCCGCCAGAAAACCTTCGTTCGCAAATTCCCATTTGTCAGGATCAACTTTTCTAAAACCCTGCACCCACAGCAGCCCCGTCCATTTCCCAAGTTAGGATTTACATTCAATTAATAGAACCGCCAGAGAAAAAAAAATGCTTCAAAGATACCCTCAAACACATTCGTCCAGAACACTCTAAATTGTTGATTAAAATTGCAAACTTTAGAAGTATATATGCACTTAACTAGGTTAAGCAGTTGAGTAGAAGATGAGAAGAAAAAAAATGATTACATAGGTGTTGAGTTGTCGGACGAAGCTGGAGAAATTGTTGTGCTTGAAGTAACGAGGCAAGATGGTGGTGGAGAACTTGTGAGAGTCCCAAACGACGAAACTGTTGCGTGCTCTGCTCCAGGAAACGATGTCGTTGGTGGAAGGGTCTTCGACCACGTCGAAGGTTTTGGTGAGAAACGGAGGTGGACCCACATCGTGCAAGCCTTCCCTTGGTTGCGGGAAGAGGTTGGAAGTTGAGGATGAAGGTGAAGCAGGAGCAGCAGCCGCAAATGCGAATGTTTGTTCCTCTTTCACTGTACCTCCCTTCATTTTCCTTAATTGGAAACTGTATCTCTCTGCTATGCGAGAGAGTGTGTGAGAAAGAGTTTGGTAGATTACTATGTGTGAATTAAGCAAGGGTTTACTTGGGGCTTAGGGAATAAGGAATTTAAGGGATGAGAGAAGGAAGGTTCTAGAGAGAGAGAGTGACACTGCGAGAGATTTTTGAAGAGTATGAGAAGCTTCTGCCATCTGTCAATTTCCTGTGCCAAAGATATTTTGTAAAACTTCTGGAAACTTCTCGACTTATCGGCTGCTTCCACCCTAAATATATTTTCAACATGGAACCGACGCGTGTTAATCACAACTGCAGAGAGATGATTTTGTCAACAAACCACTGTTTTCCTTTGCTTGGAAAAACCAAAGAAAAAGAAAAAATTGTTTAGACAAAAAAAGAAGAAAAAATAAATTTAATTATTTATTATTGGTATAATTTAGATAAAAGTACAGCTTACGTCTTACGTTTATTTTTTAAATAATACTTTTTAGAAAAATAGTATTAACGAAAACAAGAATAATCTCCCAAACTTACAAGTAATACATCGTTCAATCAAACAAATATTACTTTGTACAGGAGGAAGTTATCAATTTACACAGGAAAAAACCAACGCATTGAAAACCTTGGGAAAACTATTTTCACAGGAAAGATTGATGAAAAAGGGTAAGTACAGTGATTATTTCATCTCATTCGAATTTCGAGGGAAAGTTCATGACACCATCCATTTTTCAATATTCCTATTCAACTTTTCGTGTTTAAAATTAATTGATAATAATATTAAGCTTTTCATAAAAAAAAAAAGAAAAAAAGACGTCTTTAGAGAACTAGACTGATTTAACATTGGTCACTGTATCAAAAATAATTTTTTGTATAGTTAAAATCAAATAAAACAAAATTTTTATAGTTATAATAATAACAATCATAATAATAATAATATTTTAGTATTTCTATCATCATAAAAAATATTTTATCTTTCAAATATACGGGGGTGGAAAGCAGGGGGTGGGTGAAGAAACAGTTGCATTTGAAGAGTTACTATTAGGCCCATATCAAACTCAACCAGCACAGTAATAGGCCTGGCCTTACTTGAACGAGCTAGAGATTTCAATATCATCACTGGGCTTGACCCGTTATCGCATTTCTATGTTGATATTTGTTCTTCAACTATTTTCCTTTCACTTTCAAACAAAATGTTAGTGTCAAAACTTCCACCTGAACATTTACAAAATCAACTTACTCTTATTAAATAATTACTTTTATTAAATAAAAGGCAATAAAAACATGAATTTTAACAATACTTCATCCAACAGTATTCAGTGATATTATTTTAACTTTTAACTTAACTCCTAATAATTAATGACAGCAGGACACGCATTTTATTTTTAATTTTTTTTATTATTATTTATTAATTTCTTATTTTATTTAAATTTGAATTTAAAATAAATTATATATTTTAAATTATGATGATTAATGTTACTTAAATTTAAACTAATTTATATTAACTTTTATAAATAGATTATTAATATTATATTAAAAGTAAAATTTATTTGTTATACATGTAATTACATTATGATATCTACATTTAAATTAAATTCCTGTTTTATATTTCTAACTAATCTAATTTATCAAAAACGTACAAAATGATTTTATTTGTAGAATAGAATAATTGTAAATGAAAAAAAATAATTTGTATAAAAGTTAAAATACTTAATATAACATGAGTCAATCTATATTATGCATTTCATTTTTAAAAATATTTAATTAAAACAATTATAACTCAAACAGTACTTATCATTGTTTTATTAACGTCAAACTCAAATTTGAATTAAATTACATTCTATTTTTAATTATAATAAAAAAATGTTATTTTTAATTTAAAAGGTGTCATTTGATTTTTTACTAAAATATAAGAAAGAAATTGACTCTATATAAGTATAAGTTACTGATATAACTTGATATCAATTTCCGAAAGGTGGCAGAACAATAACATACTACTTCTCTCATTTTCCAAACAACTTTGGAGAAATGGATATGTGAAAAAATTTCCAGAGAAAAAAGTATTCATTGGTAGAAGACATGATATATGGGGAAATAGGTTTGGTTTGTAAGGTTCTTAGATATCAGCAATATTCAGAGACTCCAGAAAGAACTGGACTCAATCAGCATAAACTGTATGTCAACACACCTAGATTTGGTAGGAACGAAGGAAAACAACCAGTCCAGAGAAAATGTCAAAACCAAAGGTTGTATGGAAGAGGAAATCAAATAATATTGGTAGTAAAAGCGGATGGATACAAACAAAGTCTCACATCGAATAAAATAAAAAATAGATATGAGTTTATATACACATAAGATATCTCTAGTAAGAGACCTTTTATAATAGTATCAAAAACAAATTCGTGAGAGTGTAGTCCAAAATGTATAATATAAAAATCTATGGATATGTATATATTGAACCTAAACCTACACAACATAATATGATAAAGGAGATTGATGTTGATATTTGAAAGTGAGAAGATGGTCAGACATATTTTCTTACCCTAAAATGTATAAAAAAATGTGTAATAAGGTTTCATATTATTATATAATTAACTTTTAACATTTTCGCCGCATCCAATTAAATAAACAAAATAAAATATACAAAGGAATGTCGGTAAGTGGTGAAAATTGAAAATGTAGAAATGAAATAATATTTAAGTAAGGAAAGATAGACATAGAGAAAATTTTCTATATGACACAAATGCATGTATGAATATAAATAAAACATAAATTATCCAATATAACATTATTTGGTACTAATGTCCAATTCAATACAAAAAGTCGTCAGTTAAGTTTATTATTTTTCTTAAAATTAATCCAAGATATTTATATAATCTATAAATAACAGAGAAGTGTTATCCTATTATGTGTGTTTGCGTTAAATTCAATTTTCCTCAGCTTTAATTCTTAAGATTAGGGCTGGGCACAGTTAAGTTAAGAAACTTAAATTATAGTTTATCTGTACTGTTTTAAACTTAAAAAACTTAAAACTACTTTTACTAAAAACTAATTATAATGGTTAACAGTTCAGTTTAAAAATACTGAACTATTTCATTTTGAATACAGTTAACTATGGTTTCAGTTTTCCTCTGTTTCCTTTATCAATCGTAGGTTTTTCTATTTCCTTTTTCCATCACAATTTCCTGCTGCCGCCATTGTTGTCGAAGACTCGGGTTATGAGAAAACTTCTCGTTGGAAAGAGAAGCAAATCTGCAAACCCACGTTTTTCCCTTTCCCTTTCAAAAGAGATTGAAAAACCTTGGCATGGTAAAAGTGGAAGAACGAAGGAGAAGAGGGGGAGCAAAACGATGACGTTGAGACGGGAGCCGAAGGAGGACGCACCTGAGTTCCAGAAGGAGTCGATGGAGTTGCCGGCGGAGGGAGAGGGTGAGGGCGGGAGGCCGTCGCCGAAGAGAGAGTAGTCGAGGAAGGACTGGACGCCTGCGAGGGAGGAGGCGGAGAAGAGGTCGGGGTGGGTGAAGGGGGTGTGGTCGAGGGAGAAGTTGGTAGGGGAGTTGTCAGTGAAGAAGATGGTTTTGGCGGCGAGGAGCGTAGGGAGGCGGCGAGGAGCGTAGGGAGGCAGGCGCGGCGGGGGAGGAGGAGGTGGTCGGAGAAAGGGAGGCGCTGGGAGACCACGTGACAGGGAAACAGGAGAGGATCCAGAGGAGGACAGTCCAGGAAGGCATTGCGTGTGATGAAAAGTGTGACTTTGAACTTAAGCAGTTTACTGGATTGTACTGCACTAAGTGCACTAAAATTAAGTTCAGATCAGTTTTTCTTAACTACTTTTTAGTTCAATTCAGTTTCTTTGAATTATTATATAGTTAATTATAGTTTGGTTATAATACAGTACAGACAGTGCAGTTTGCCCACCCCTACTTAAGATAGACACCTCAACTTTAATATTTAGTTTTATATATTTCTCTTAAATTATTTGATACCGGTTTTAAAACCATGGTTTTAGTTCAAAATTACTGCAAATTTAAAATATTTTAAAATGTAAACATTATTAATTACGGACAGTAAATTTCATTTAACATGATAAGTAACATGGTAAGATAAAAAAATTAAGTTGTATACTATAACATCCCAAAAATGATAGTATGAAACTATATTAATGAGACATCACATAATAACAAGATAGAACCGTCAGTGTAGAAAAATCTTACAATTATCCTAAAATGACCAGAAAAATTTAAAACTTTACAGAATTCCTCTGTTGGTACGAACATATGTACAAGACCGAACGGTCTTATACCTAAGTAGGTGGATCCTCTGTTTCCAGCGATTGCTCCAGTGAAAACTCCTCTCCATCTGCTCACACCCACAGGGCGATCATCGCAAGGAACAATATCGAACAGACAACATGACAAGATAGAAAATAAGGGTAAGCTAATGTAATTTAATTAATCATGTTAACATGCAATTCAAACAAACATATAATATAATCATACACATACAAATATCATATAAGCATATTATGACTGACCACTTGACTTGACTAAAGCATGATCGAGTACTAGTGCAAGACCGTTTGGTCATTAACTGAAACTCTACAGAAGCAAAACTCAGTTAAGACCGAACACAAGAGGAATACCACTCACACCTAATATCGAACGGTCATGAACTGGTAAGACTCTAAAGAGACTGAACCCATTTAATGATCGATCACATGAATATGACCAAACAGCCAATCAGAGCATGGTTGATCTGTCAACCGCGCATGTTCCACGTTCTGCATAATTCTGCAGAAATATGGACAACTCCTAACTTTACCAAAACTGAATATTTTTCCAAACTTCTAATTCCCCAAACACGAATCATGTTCCTATTTACACCTATACAAGGATACCTAAACCTTTCTAACATTATCCTAAAGAATCTCTTATCAGATCTCATCCCAACTCCTGCATAATCAGAACTAAATGACCAAAAATTCATTTTCCTACTTATGACACATTATAAGAGGACTTAAAGGTTCTAACAGGTCTAAACACACTTGCTCAGACTCTTCCCACTGACCAATTTCGCTCTCGGCCCCAAACTCTCATTTTCACTTACTCACTTTTCCAAAACCAGAAAAGATCGAACACTTATGCAGGGACTTCAACTAGTTCCCAGGTTCCATCATTCATCAATTCAACACAATTCAATCAAACATCCAATTCATA